AGAACAAGCTGTCCTGGGCACTCACAGTGCTTCCGCGGAATTCTGGCCTTCCCTTGGTGAAAATGTCCATCTCAAGAAAGACTGAAGGGACCAGAGTGATAGTACAGCAGATAGGGCTGTACTTGCAAGCTGTACTTTGCCTTGCAAGCACCTGACCTGGGTTTGATCCCCAGCACTCCATATGGTCCCCCAGGCAATGCCTGAGCACCACCAGGAGTGACCCCTCAGCACAGAGCCAGGAGCAGGAGAAAGCCCTGAGCACTGTGGGATGTGGTCCCTGAAAAAGAAAAAAAAAAAGAGTGAGGGCCAGGAAGATGGCTAAAAGGGAGAGAGAGAGAAAGAGAGAGAGAGAGAGAGAATACAAGGGTTAAGTACTTGCCCTCATGTGACAGACCGTGGTTCAATTCCTGACAGGGAGGGGTGGCCCAAACCACCCACCCTCCAATAAACAAATAAATAAAGGCTAAATATATGTATTGCATACAAGAGCCCTGGATTAGATTCCCACACCACAAGGTTCCCCTAACATTGCCTGTGTGGTCCCATCAACAAAAATTAATAGGTAAGTAAATCCTAAAGATTAAGGTGCCAGAGAGATAGTATAGCAGGGAAGGTATTTCCCTTGCATGCAGCCAGCCAGGGTTGAATCCCCTGTACCACATATGGTTCCCTGAGCCCCATCCAGAGCAATTCCTGATCTTAGAACTGAATATATCTCATTCATCGCCACTGCGTCGGACTGCATATGTCCAGTAAATCCTGATCATCGCCATGGATATGGCTGGATATAGCCAGAGAACAAAAAATAAATACAACAAAAGCAGAAGGTAAAAAGAAAGACTGAGAGGCTGGGTGGAATGCAGCTCATCTTGACTTACACTATGAGGCCCCGGGTTCCATCCTCGGCTTTGCAAAAAAAAAAAAAAAAAAAAAAGATGGAAAAGGACAAAAGGACACATGGTCAGTGTGAAAAGAAAGTGAACATCTGGCCAGATTTAAGGCCAGAGCTCTGCTGAGCTTTGAAGATAAAAGGCTCACAGCCTCAGGAAGGAGGGGGGCAGCCGGGGGTGGGCGGAGGAGGGGGGAAGCTGAGACTTAGCCCTAATCTAATCAGGGTGGGAAGGGGGTGGAGGTCAGAGCTCTGAGATCCTGAACTTGTTGCCTGGCCCAGGACTCCAGAGAGTCTGCCAGGAGGGAAGGATCTGGAAGGAACCACTAAATGGTGTGTCCTTGACCACGCTGCTGCCTCTCCCTGGGACTTCTTTCCTTTGCCGTGGCTTTTTCTCTGCCTTCAGCACAGGCAACAGAGGCGACTGCAGAAGGTCTGCCCTCTTCATGCTCCTGAGGGGTTGGGGAACAGCAGGTGCCTAGAGCAAGTGCCCTCCAGGAGGACTTGGCAAGGGGAGGAGGTGGCTGGCCATGGCAGCAAACTCAGAAGGGAGCCCCGACTCCAAGTTGACTAACTTCTCTCAACTTCCCCCTCAAAGCCTTTGGTCCGGTCCCTGCCCCACCACACCCAGTTCCCAGGGACCCCTATGTTCAGCCTCCTTCTCAGTCTCTCAGAAATGCTACTTAATAAAACCAGGACAAAGTGATATACATGATACCCTTTTGGTAACAGTGCTGCAAACCAGAGTGCCTAACAAGGGAGAGAGAGAGAGAGAGAGAGAGAGAGAGAGAGAGAGAGAGAGAGAGAGAGAGAGAATCAACTATAGAGGCAAGCTGGGCAAGGGAGGGGCAGGGGGAGCCTGGAAGAGAAACTGGGTACTTTGGTGGCAAGAAACATACACACAGGGTTAAGTGTTGAAACACCGTATGATTGAAACTCAATCATGAACAACTTTGTAACTGTGTATCTTGTGATGATTCAATACTATTACAAAAACAACTTAAAATTTAAGTCAATCAAAACTTGGGGCTGGAGCAATAGTACAGTGGGTAGGGCGTTTGCCTTGCACACAGCCAACCCAGGTTCAATTCTCAGCATCCCATGTGGTCCCCTGAGCACTGTCAGGAGTAATTCCTGAATGCAGAGTCAGGAGTAACCCCTGTGCATCGCCGGGCATGACCTAAAAAAAAAATAACTTTAGTATCTCCCTGATTTTTAACTAAACATGCCTTGGTTAAAAAAATGTTTTTAATTAAAAACATTAAAAATAGAGGTCATGGAGATAGTATAGGAGGTAGGGCGTTTGCCTTGCATGCTGTTGACCCGGGTTTGATCTCTGGCATCCCATGTGGTCCCCTAAGCACCTCCAGGAATAATTCCTGAGTGCAGCAGAGCCAGGAGCATTGCCAAGTATGCTCCCCCACCAAAAAAAATATACAACAAATAAATAAAAAACAATAAAACTGGGACAAGGAAACTCACTACAATTTGCTCCTGCTCTTGAGCCCACCCCATTATGAGTCAGCAGTTCCAGTGCAGAATCCCTGAACAGAATCACTGCAGAGCTGGGTAACCATTTCTCCTGTCCAAACCAGCCCCAGCCCACTCACTGTAGAAGAAGGTGAGCCCTTCCCTTCCCCACTCTCCTTCCCTTTCAGGGACCAGGGTGGAGGAATTTTTGCTTTTGTTTTTGTGCTATACCCAGCAGTGCTCAGGGGTTGCTCCTGGTTCTGTGCTCCAAATTGCTCCCTGGCAGTGTGCAAAAGATCATTCATTCAGTGCTGGGGATAGAAGATGGGCCTCCAACATGCAGAGCCTGAACTCAGCCCATTGCACAGTCTCTCCAGGACTGCCCCCCCCAAGTGCCCTGTTAGAATGGAGCTATATATATTTTTTAATTTTGGTTTTACACCCTGTAGAGAGCTCAGGGTTCCTCCTTCTGAGCTCAGGGATCACTCCTGGCAGTGCTCAGGGGACCATATGGGATGCCAGGAATTGAACTTGAGTTGGCCAGGTGCGAGGCAAATGTCCTACCTGTCATACTACTGTTCCAACTCAGAATGGCATTTTCTAATCAAAATTTCTCAAGGCTCGGGTTGGAGCTATAGTACAGTGGGTAGGGTGTTTGCCTTGCACGCGGCCGACCCGGGTTCAATCCCCAGCATCCCATATGGTCCCCTGAGCACCACCAGGAGTGATTCCTGAGTGCAGAGCCAGGAGTAACCCCTGTGCATCGCTGGGTGTGACCCAAAAAGAAAAAAAAAAGAATTCTCAAGGCTCCCCTCTCCTCACAAACCTTCTCAGAGCAACTGACTTCACCTCGCTCTCATTTGCCACCAGCACCCACTTGGGCACCCTGACAGCTGGTTCTGCCATATGGGCATGCGAGGAAGAGCTGGGACGTTCCTGGGTTTTTGTGAGCTGGCTCTGACTTGGGGCTGCATCCTGGGCGGCAAAAAAATTCCTCTAATCTGACCAACAGGGTGGCATGCTGGAGGCAGGCCCTCTGCTAGAGAGAGGAAGGGCCTCTACTGATACCTTAGCTCCTCAGCCCCCAAGTGACCTACGGTGGAGGAACACACCCTCGGAGGTTCTGAAGCAGGAAGTGGCAGAGGTAAGGCCCATATCCCAGAGGGGCAGAGAGGGCCTGTGGGCCAGCACCCGTTGCCCCCGTTGCCAGGCTCCAGCCAAGGATACTGCTGAGGACTGAGAGGAATGAGTCACAGGTGTAGGGAGAGGGGGCCCAGGTGGCAAGGGTCCTGACCCAGCAGAACCAGCCTGGCAGCTAGGCGGGGCGGGCCCAGAGCTGACGAGCACCTGGGCACGCTCCCGGATGCGGGCATGCATCCTGCCAGCCTGGGGCAAAAGCTAATGGGAATTGGCCCCAACTCGGCAGACTCTTAACTCCTGCTCCTCACAGCTGGGCTTGTCAGCACCTTCCTTCCCGCCCTCCTCAGTGGGCTCTCAGCTGCTGGTGATTCCCACTGACACAACAGGCGGGGCTAACTGGCAAATGTGCTTGGTTTTCTGTGCTCAGGAGTCTGACCCAGAAAGATAAGAGGGTTGTTTGGTGTTTTCTTGGGCAAGGTTGGCCCTCGTGCTGCTGAGGAGTTTCTGAGCAACGGGGCTGGAGTGATAGCACAGTGGGTAGGACGTTTGTCTTGCACGCGGCCGACCTGGGTTCGATTCCCAGCATCCCATATGGTCCCCGGAGCACCACCAGGAGTAATTTCTCAGTGCAGAGCCAGGAGTAACTCCTGTGCATCACCAGGTGTGACCCAAAAAGCCAAAAAAAAAAAAAGTTCCTAAGCAAGGGCCTCTGACCCTCACACTAGCCACTAGCATTTCACTCCCATTGTCACGGCTAATCTCGGTGGTCTCTGCGCCCCCCCCCCAGGCTGGGGGCTGGGTGGGTCCCCCCAGGCGCCAACAGCCACTCCCACAGCCCCCTCGTGGGAACAGCCCCTGTGCCCAGGGCTGGAGGACTCAGAGCTTAGTCAGGCCGCCAAGCTGGCTGAGTCCAACCCAGGCCTCCCCGGCACCACGCACAGCCGTTGCCAATGAGCTGCAGTCAGCAGGATTGAGCACAGGGAACTGGCTGGAATCCAAGGTGGAATCACTTTCCATTCTCACCGCATCCCTCTGTGTTTGTAGGGGGGAGGCACATCAGGTCAAACTAAGAACTGAATAAAGGGGGCGGCTGGGCATGAAGAGCTCTTTTGTGATTTAACTATATAGTCCCAGGAGGTATCCCCAAGAATAAGAACCTAAGAGCACCACAGATCAATAGAAGCTGAAGAAGAATCTGCATAAACTAGCGGGTATCAGGGGCCAGGAAAAATCAGGGAATAAGGGGGGTCAGGGTGGAAAAAAGTTAAAACAAACACATCCTGACACATACACGTACACACATTTCTCCAAACACAGCAATAATTTGGGGGTTTCCACTCCCAATCATCTCCTAAACACACAATTCAATTTTTAGCAGTATTCCCTTTGTAAATTCTACTTATAGATCAATGCCTCTCCCCACCACCCCCTCCCTCACCCCCTTATACACTAGCATAAAACCCTGGACTTCCCCGAGAAAAGGAAAATGGCAGGCCAAGCCTAGTGCTACAGATTCATCCATCTTTAATAACTTACAGGCAAATGCTAAAAAATAGTTAAGAATAATGATACAGAGACACGCGGCATATAAAAGGGTTGTGGCTGTAAAACGCGAAGGGAAGGGTTTGCGGCACTTTCACATGGACACAAAGACTTGTGACTGGCCTCCCTTGAAAAGCAGCCTGGGGTGGGGGACACTCCCCTGAGGAAGGCAGGGGGGCAGGGAGAAGAGTTCTTGTTTGTCTCAAATGCACCCTCCAAGCAACTTTCCTCTGCCCCCAGAACAGTCCATCAGAAAAGCCGGAGAGGCCAAAACAAGAGGGTCGAGGTAGAGTCACAGTTTACACTGACGTCTCCAGAGTCCTGCAGTGCCCCGACACCCAGAGGTGAGGATGAAGGGGAGACGTGGGGAAGACATCCCACCTCCATCCCTCACACAGCATGGTAGCAGGACCCCCAGTGTGCTCCTCACTCCTTCACTGAGGTGGGCAGGTCCTGACCCGGAAGGGCTGAGTGAGGGGGTCACAGGCTCTGCCTGGCTCTATCCAAGTCTCCAGACCCCTACTGTTGGGGGTGGGGGGTGAGGGGGGTCACCGTCTCTTCTTGCCCACCCTGGCCGCCTTCTTCCTCTTGAGGATCATCTCATACAGGCGCTCCAGGCCCGGTTGCAGGCCCAGCCCGTCCACGGCGCTGCAGCCCTGCACATGGGTGAGCGTGGCGGCTGCCAGCTCCCGCACCGCCAGCCTCTTCTCCACCTCGGCCGCACTCAGCGCCCCGGGCTGATCCTGCTTGTTGGCCAGCACCAGCACGGGCACGCCCTGATTGTCCGAGGCCCTGCTAATCCGGTGCAGTTCCACCTTGGCCTCCTCCAGGCGCTCGGTCTCTGCAGCATCCACCACGAACACCAGCCCATCTGTCCGGCGGGTGTAGGAGCGCCACAGTGGCCGCAGCTTCTCCTGCCCCCCCACGTCCCACACTTGGAAGGTGATGCCACGAGACCCCCCCAGGGGTACTCGGATCTTCTCTGTGTTAAAACCTTTGGTGGGGACGCTCTGGACAAACTCCTTGAACTTGAGGCGATAGAGAAGGGAGGTTTTCCCAGCTGAGTCCAGTCCGATGACCACGACGTGCAGGGCCTGGAAGTTCGGCAGGAAGGAGGACGCTGTGGGTGCCATCTCGGTCAAGTGGTTCCCCATGGTGGGTGGCAACTCAAGTGGCAGGTGGGCCCGGGGCTCACGGAACAAGGGGAGCAGGGAGGCGGCCTTCAACTTGCACACGTGGGGTTGATCTGGACAAGGACGAGCCACTAGAGAGAAAAAGGAGACGCTTAATAACCAAACCTGCAACTTCTTCAGCCTTCCCTGAGCTGCCCACGGCTCCCTTCTAAAATCTCTTTCCTTTGCTTTCGTTTAAAAGCAACTGCGGATGGAATAAGGCAGTCCCCGTCCCTGGAAGCCGTTAGCAGCAGAGATGAGATCCAGGAACCGCCAGGTCTTGGGGGCACTGAGGGTCGGCTTCCAGCGCCTCTGCTCCAAGCATGCTGGGGTCGCAGGTAGCTGGCGCTGCGACCCCTTTCCCCACAAATGAGGCGGGCAGGGACAGGTTGGGCAGCGCCTTAAATGACGAGTTAACTGCGGGGACGCTGGAACCAGAGACAGAAGACGCCGTCCACAGCTCCAGGCGGTCGACACGCCCCTCCGAACCCCAAAAACCTTGTCCCCAACCGCCTCGCGAGCCCAGGTTCCCAATTCCGGCTTCAGGGACGCCTCGGCACTGTCGGTAAGGCCGCCTTACCTTCCGCCTGCCGCGCGGTGCCCGCGCCTCTCCCAGACCGGCGCCGCTGCCGCCGAAGCCCGAGCTTGTCTCCTAAGCGCCGAGACTGCGGAGCCGGCCCGGAGCGCGGCCTTAAGAACCAGGGCGTGACGTCACGGAGCCCGAGCCTATCGGAGGCCCCGCCGCGGCGGGGCGGGGCGGGGCGTGGAAATACTCGTACCGCTGCCCGGGTGGGTGCAGAGTGGGCTGTTTTTTGCTCCAGCGGTGACCGTTTCATTGGGTCCTTTCGACCATGATCTAATATTTGGAATTAAACTCGGGATTCACCTGGGAGCGAGGGTGAGAGGGGCAGAAGGAGTAACTGGCGAGGTTGTAATAAATGCCAGTTCCGCCCCAGCCCCTCCCCCGCGGGTTCCTCCCGCAGTGCCCACTCCGTTCACCAGGGTCCACTTGAAGATGCTAAGAGGTCTTTCGCTTTTGATTTCCTAATCCAGTGTTCAATTACGTGTGAACTTGGAAACCCATAAGCACCCTTAGCCCATTAGCACTACTGCCCTTCACAGGAGCCAGAAAGGTAGGAACTTGGGTTGGTTGTATTCTGTAAGGGAAGAGCTTTCAGAAGTGTTCATGACTGGGGCCAGAGCCACAAGACAGCGAGTAGGGCGCTTGCCTTGTACGTGGCCAACCAGGGTTTAATCACCAGCATCCCCCAGGATCACCAGGAGTGAGCTAGGAGTAATTCCTGAGCATTCCCCGGTCTGGTCCAAAAATCTCTCATGGGGAAGCTCTAGAAGTATGTCAGCAGAAGACCTTCAACCTTCAACTATCCACTGGATATAGTACTGACTGGCTGCAGTCCACACATCCAGGGCCTTCTCTTGCTACTGTGAAGACAAGTTCTTCACCAGGTGGTTGGTGATCTTGTTCCTGCTGTATTCTCCTTAGCCAAAGCAATATGGTACGTAGAGAATGTGCAGCCCAGGGCTGGAGAGATCATACATAGAGTGCTTGCATTGCATGCAGCCAACCCGGGTTCGACCCCTGGCACCCCATATGGTTCCCCGAGTACTGCCAGGAGTGATTACTGAGCCACAACAAGGAGTAATCCCCAAGCATTGTGGGGGTATGGCCCAAAATTGAGAGAGAGGGAGAGAGCGAGAGTGAGAGCGAGCGAGCGAGAGAGAGAGAGAGAGAGAGAGAGAAAGAATAGCCCACAGGGCCTGACACAGTGACCTTGGGGAGTGAAATAATGGAGGGGGATGGACAGTCATTCACAGGAGCTCAGAGCAGCCCATGTATTGGGCTTCACAAACCAGGAAGGAGAAATACATGAACGAGATGCTTCTGGAAGGTTTCTAGAATTTAGTTACTCCCATGTAGGATTGGTAAAGAGAGGGAACATGACTGGGTGGCATTTTTGGTTTGGTTTTTGGTTTTGGTTTTTCCCAGTGGCACCCAGGAATAATTCCTGGCAGGGATCTGGGGTCCAAAGTGGGTCAGCTGTGTGCAAGACAAACACCCTATCTGCTGTGCTGTCACTCTGGCCCTGGGAGCATTTTCCCAACTGCTACAGCCTAATGCCATCAGGGATCCCTGACCAGGAGGAGAAGTCACAAATGGTCATCGTGACCAAAAGGACCACAGTGACTCTCTGGGGGTGGGGAGAGCATCATCAAAGGAGAGTAGAGTTGAAACTCAAATTGCCTAGTGGAGGGTGGATTCCTGTATTTATGGTGTACTTCGGTGTCAGCCTTTTGAAAGTCTGTACGCTGGCCGGAGTGGCGCGGAACCAGAGGAGAGGAAACCCTTGCCCGCCGGGAGGGCCTGGCCCTTCCTGCCCACCTGCTTCCCATGTGTTTGGCACCAGCCTGCCTTATCGCCTGCTTCTTCCCTTCCCTGCTCAGAAACCAGCTTCCTGGTGACCCCAGCAAAGCAGAGGGCCTCTCCAGATCCTTGAAGAGGACCATAGGAATGTGTTGTAACGCCCTGGTGTAGGAAGGATGCCAGGCTGCTTGTAGTGGGCTCTCAGGCACAGAGCTTGGAGCTGAGCTCAGGAAGCTGAGAGAGGTCAAGACAAATGAGGCCGAGAGGTGAGGAAACACCACTTCCCTGTCCAGCAGCGATTGATGCATGCCAAACTCTGCCAGAGGAACTTTGTTACTTAGCCTCCCCTCCCCTTTCTTTTTTGTTTTTGCTTGGGGGCTACACTTAGTGGTGCTCAAAGGCTCCTCCTGGTCCTGGGCTTGAGGGTCACTTCTGTGGTGCTCTGGAACCATGAAGTGCAGGGATCAAACCTGGGTCTCCAGCTTGCAAAGCAAGCATGCAGCCTCTGAGCCATCTCCCCTAGCCTACTCTTCCTTCTCCACTATGTAATTCCACCCATGAGTTAAGTACAGTTCTCTACGAATGTCTTTATCTGGGGACCACACTTGGTTCGGGTGTTGGTAGAAGGGGAGGACAGAGTGTGCTCTGGGCAGTGCTCAGGGCACCATGCAGGCGACAGTGGTCATCAAACCTGGGCCTCCAGCATGCAAACATGCATGCTAGTCCTCTGAGTTATTTCCCTAGCCTAGTACATTTCTTCGTTTTTTTCGGGGAGGGGGGGAGTGGTGAGGGGCATACCCAACTATGCTCAGGTGTCACTCCTGGTGGTGCATGGGGGACCACATGGGATGCCGGGGACAGAACCTGGGTACACTATGTGCAAAGCAAAACAAGTGCCCTACCCGCTGTACTATTGCCCCAGTTATTCCTTTTTGTGTATGTTACTTCGGGGGCCACACCTAGCTGTGCTCAGTGCTAAGCGATCACTCCTGGCAAGGCTTTCTGGGACCATATGGGTGCCAGGAATAGAACCCAGTCAGCTGCAGTGCATGGGTATATACTCTATCTGTTATACTCTCTCTCCAGTGCCTCCAGTATAAGGTATTCTAAAGAGAAGAACCCAATGCACAAAGTTAGGTAAACTTCTCCAAGGACACCCAGCCCAGCAAGAAGCTGACCAGAACTGACTTTAGTTTGGTTTTTGTTTTTTGAGCCCCCCAGTCTCCCCTCCCCCCCCCCCCCCCCCCCCCCCCCCCCCCCAGCGATGCTCAAGGGTTACTCCTGGCTCTGCACTCAGGAATCACCCCTGGCAGTGCTGGAGGGGAAAACATATGGGATGCTGGGAGCCCTAGCCGGGTGGGCGGGCTCCACACTAGCTCTAGCCCTGTCCAGAACTAACTTGATCAAATGTTACAATGACCTTTTAAGGGAAATTGCAGCAAGGAGTGTGTTTCTTCCCCCTCTTTGAAACTTTGTTATTTCTCGGGCAACTCCATGACTTCACACCAGGCACAAAATTGTCACTTGACTGGCTGATAAAAAAACTGAAACTGGCAATCCCAGGACCCTTCATCTTGTGGTTCGCCAGGGAAGGTGTTGATGAACAAATGGTGAAGGAGGAGGGTAGGGAAGGGGGAAGGAGGGGATGCTCCCCGGCTTGTCAGGGCAGTACCACCATGTGGGCCTACCCCAATTTATCTCCTCTGAAGGGGAACTCTTGGTCACTCCCCTGGGCTGCCCTAGATCCTGTGAGCCTCGCTCTGCTAATTAGATCCTTTTGTTTCCCTGCAGTCTCACCCAGCAGTCCTTCCTCCCTCCAAGATCACAGCCCATGGGAGATTCACCCAGGGGGCAATTCAGACATTGAACCATGGTGTGGTTCCAGCTAGGTGCCAAAGCCACCCCGTTTCAGGTCTACAAGCCTGAGTGGGATGAGTCAGGAGCTGCTTTGAGGGAGATGGCAGGTCCATATGCATTTGGGGATTACATTAGGGAGGAATATAGAGGATGGACTCAGGAGCCAGGGGTGTCACTCCACCATGCAATACACACCTTACATGTATGTGTGAGGCTCTGGCTCAGTCCCCTGAACCAATGAAAGGAGGAAGAGGAGGAGATGGGGATCTGTGTCACTGGAGACAGCAAAGCTGGGGACTGTGCTCCACGGGACTGGAGGCAAGGTGGGGCTATAGATGAGAGTGGGGAGGAGTCGCTCTGGAGGGGCTACCCACTTGTTGACATTAGAACCAAGGATGGGGTGATTAGGAGTCAAACATTCAAGAGAGAAGGACTGGCTGAGCCCTGGCTGCTTCCCTCTTCTGGCAACCCACTAGCATCAGATCCCAGCCCCTGGATCCGTGCCTGAGCTGTCACCCCGACCAATCTGAGCCCCAAGGCTGGGGGCTGGTTTCTTTCAGCTAAAGCTCTGCAGTGCCAGCACCATGACTGGCTCACAGGAGGCAGTCAGGAAATCTTGCATCAGTTGGTGAATGCATAATGGAATTTTTTTTTTGGGGGGAATGCTTGGGGGAGTGGATTTGTTTTGGGGGCACACCCAGCAATACTCAGAGGTTACTCCTGGTTCTATGCTCAGGGATCACTCCTGGTGGGCTCACGGGACCACATGGGGTGCCAGG